GAGAGATTGATGCTTGTTTACTGCTATGCAAAAAAATGAATCATAAAGAAGGCAGAATTTTATCCAGCACTGTCTACAAAAAATCAACTTGTTTCGTTTACAAGCCATAGAAGCAGTCTTTCTGGGATGTGACATCAAATATTTGCTCACGAATATGGTAATATTCATTACCAAAAGAAACCAAAAAAGGCAGTATCATACCCTTTGAAATCGTGAAACAAAAGTTGAAAATAAAGGGAAGTGAGACACATAAGTGCATTTTGAAGGTTTGTCTCAAAACGAATTGATTGCAGTTACCCTTTCAATATATCGAAAGTGCATTTTATTAAACATTACAAATTGTCTGCACATTTCTGGGCAAGTGAGGGGCTGTTGCCGTGAGGTATTCAAGAAGCCATTGCTCTTTCGTCAGTTTGCATGTTTTCGTGTTTAAATTTTGAATTCCAAATTTGCTCTCTGCAAACATTTCTGAGAGGGGATTGCCAGCCGGCTCACTGTCATTGCCGAAAAAATGGAAATTTATAAAAGCAAAGTATAGGCCTGCAGTGTAACATCACCTCAGATGACATCACAGTTTTCGTACAAAAACAGCACAGAAACCAATAAATGTTCTAAAATACAGGTTCAAATAACAAAATGAGTATTAAAAGTAAAGTTAATTAAACACAAAATCATTTTACAGGTTGTACCAAAACAATTATTTTATGGCCCCTTTAAACTAAGAGTTAACAGGATACAAAGTGAAAATGGCATTAACTCCGTTTTCGTAGGTGTTGGTTTGTTGTGATATTTATTTTTGTTTTACAAAGAGAACGTCAAATTTTACGAAATTGCAATTAAAGGCGTTTTCCTCAAAATCGCCTGTAAGTCGCCGCATCACTACAAAAACGTCTTAAAATGATGATGTCAAAGTTTAAGGAACATGTTTCTGAACAGCTTGCTACCTCCGGCGCAGATCTTGGGAGTTGTAGGTGAAGCCACCCCCCCCTGCCGCACAATACCAGTTTGTTTAGTGGCTATATATACTTCGACAGGTTGGAAGGCCCCCTACAAAGCGTGCAACCATGTAGGAGCTTTATTTTGCGCGTGCGGTTAAAGAAAAAACGGAGAGTAAAGAGCATCCCAAAGGAAAACATGTTTTCTCTGATTTTATATCTGTTCAAATAAATATAGAAGCATCCAAATCGAATGCAGTGTCATTTGTCTTCAGAGCTCAACTATAACAGGCTAAAGAGGGCTTTTTTCTGTTCATGCCAAGATGCGAATTCTGAGTGAAGATTGCGTCATTGAGGAGAAAACGAGGGGAATCCTCGCCCTGGGTTCGTAGTGGATAAGCCCTGGTGCATGCCATTGTTTGACATGCACTTGAACAGATAAAATAAGAGAAATTGTGTTTTCCTTAGAGGTGCTCTTTATACGGCTCGATTGCTTTTGAGCGATCTGCAGAAGATGACTTGGACTGGAAACGTATCTATTTTTACCTGCACTTAAATATAGAAAAATACCTCTAATTTGGGATTTCATTTATTGGTTGCTTGAAGTGTTGTTGATTTTACTTTCCGTATAAATCCGACTGACAGGGTTCTCCTTAAGTGTGGTTTTCCGCTTGCCCAAAGTTTTTTTTTTGTTTCCTTTTTTTCTGTCTTCATAAAGGTTGCTTCTACCGTCGATTCAGACGAAGTGGTTCACCGGGTTCTTTATGCTGCTACATTAACCCTAATACCAGGTGCAGTATTGTTCTGGAAGTACATTTTTAAATTATAAAACGTTTAACTGTTGATACGGGTGAGACTACCGGTAACGGTAACAGTTGATCTGTCTGTGGCAAGTGGTAAATGACATGTAAATTGGGAGAATACTTAAAACTGTCATTAATTTATGTGCCAGGTAATGATTGGAGTGATATGTGTTCATCAAACAAGGTTATGTACCATGGGCGTAAGTCTGAGGGGATGGGGGTATACCCCCACATTTTGGTACGGGGTGGGATATTGAATCATTCCCAACTTTTTCGTGGTGAACAAAAAATTAAAGAAGATTGTGAAGACTTTTTCGGACTTAAACATCACTCAAAAGTAAAACAATAAAAAAGGTATAAATATGCCAATCCGATGTAAGATTTTGCATGAATGTTATGCCTGTTGCTGATATACACCTGTATCATGAACAATGCCCCATTATAATGTCACATGGTGTCAGCCCCCCCCCCGCCCCCGCTTTTCAAATTTCCATGGCCGGGTAAGTCACCTCCCACTCACACACACATACACACATTCCCTAAATGCTTTATAGAAAAAAATGTGATCGACTGTTCCAAACAATCCCTAACCCTTGAGCAACCGTGTAATTTTTACCCTTGGCTGCCGACTGTAGGGGCTGACAAGTCCCTATAGGTATATATGACAAGTATCCCTCATCATAGTTGTTTTTTGTTGTTGTTTTGTCTTAATGGCGCTTTCAGCAACTCAGGCTATTTGCGCCAATAACTGTAAGTTTATTCTATACATACACTTTATTAATCAGCATCACATTACGGAGTTAGGAAGAAAGTCCAGTTTTAGAGGCAGGAGGAAAACCGGAGTACCAGGAGAAAACCTGCGAGAGCGAGTATGGACTGGAAACCAAATGCACTTAAAGCGTGGGCCAAGCCGGGACTCGAACCCGGACCTCATTGGTGCAAAGCAAGGAAGGAACCTCTACGCTAACCCGTTCCCCCATCCCTTATCATACGTGTGCCAAGAAAACCTTATTCGACCCTTTTCAAGCTATTTGACAAGTATTATGTTCAAACGAGGTTACGTACAAGTGATGCAACTGCCTTTTTAAGCTGGTCCCTTGGAGTAATCGTTTGATTTTAAATCTTGCCTGACCGCAGGACTGAAGGGCTGAGGCAGTTTCCTGACGATGTTTACTATGGCAGTGTGGTCGAGGAGTATTCCTTCAATCCATTTTATCTTGACAACGCCGAACTGCAAACGGAGTACGACAAATGGATTGGTAAGCCATACATTTTGTATTATAAATGAATATAATTGGTTATAATTTGCAGTTGTTTTAGTGCATTGTCTCGCGCAGGTGCAAAAGCAGATGTGGGATCGAGTAAAAAGCATTTATTTCGGCGAGAGGGAAGCAGTCACACTATGTAGCAAACTGATAACCAGTAATGGTGGAAGGGGCTGTGTTCTAGCAAACTGGTGATTTCTGTCCTCTTATCTCATTTTTTTTCTTCCGCTTTTCTTTGGTCTTGTCCCCGTTTCTAGTCTCCGAGTCAGTTCCCCATGCACCCCACCTCCGCGATGCCCATGTGTGAAGACATTCTTCCATCCTGTTTATTCAGCAACTTTTCGCTCTGTGTCATTAAAACCGTGCCTGAATCGATTTACTACAGACGACCTTTAGTTACAAGTGTATGAGAAATTAGCGCAGCTTCTATACAGTGGCTTCCGTAGATACACGAGTCAATCTTTCCATAGCTAATCATTCTGGGGATGGTCCTTGTATGTGTTCCTTATTTAAAGGACCAAAAGCTCAAGGATGGCTTAGGAGACACAGTAGTAGGGATTGGACAGTTCTAGCCCCCCTTTACTTTCACTCCCTTTTGCCCCGTTTCACCCCCTTTCACCCACCCGCGCCGGGGTTTCCCACTTTACTCACCTTGACCTTTCGACCCTGTTTTTAATGACATCTCTCAATTTAAACGTCTGCTCGCTCTCGGTTAAGTAAAACGTGTGAGTCTCCATTTTATTATATACGTTTTGAAAAATCTTGTTTGGTCAATCGACACGTTTTGAAAAATTTTGTTTAGCAATCTATACGNTTTTTGGAAATCTTGTTTGGCGAGGTTTAATTTGTCAAATGCGTTTTGCCAGTGCTTATCCGAGACTTGAAATAGATCTTTTACAGCTTCTGTAGGTTCTTTTGTCACGTCTTGATAACATACCGCGATTAAAGCCTTCAACGGTTTACCTCTAGAAATCTTGCCGTTTAGAATTCAGTTTAACTTATATTCTATTTCGCCCGCTTCACCATTCTCCAATTGAACGTTAAACTCTTTAAAAGTTTTTCTCGATTTTGGTGGTAGCGGTTTTTCCAAACGTGATGCTTGTAATATCCATCTCCCATGTCTACAGGGGTGTATGAGGAAACCCACCCAAAAATTAGACCGCAATGTTTACACGCATATCTGTCGTCTATTTCTACTACGTAATGATCACACGTGTTTTTGGTCGCGGTGGTGGAGTGGGCCATTTAGGTAACGAACCGGTTAAATGATAAATCTCTGCGCCCGTCACTTTATATTAATAGTAAGAAAAAAATTTAACCTCGGTTATTCCGAGGAATAACCAAGGTTCAATTGATTTTTTCAAGTTAATCATAAGTCAATTATTCAAATTTAATCGAATTTTAATTTCATGGGAGATTCAGATCCAGATTCAGATTCAAATCCATATCCGCTAAACGCTTGCAGCACCGACTTATTTGAAATTAGTCCGTCGTTTCTAATTTTTAACATTGCCGCTGTCACTCTATACCGAACGCTGGCGCCGCACGACAGTGAACCGTGGGTACCGTAGTATACGTCTTTTGGACAAATAAATGTTTGCGCGTCGCATCTCTTATTGATAAATTTATCGATATTTGACGAGTCAATGGGTCTTTGTCGGTGATCAAATAGAGAGGCATAGGGATCTTTTTTAACGTAAAATTGGTTTTTAGCCGTATAAGGTGGTTGAACTACATATTCGATCTTGTTTAATTCCTCGATATCGCGACTGGCTTTGTAGACGTTTACGGTATTAGACGGGAGATTAGACACTTGAGATTCGATAAATTTATAAACGGCCAAATTTATGTGATCGAGTATGTTTGTCGTAGGTTGTTGTATTTGATAGCAAATTTGACGGCCTTTGACGTTTTCGGGTTTTTTTATCTATTTTGTAAAGCGGGTTTATACCGTAACAGGGTTCTATCGTCATAATCAACAGGCGTTTATTTTGACCGTTGGTGATGGTAAAAAATGGGCGAGCTGTAATGAGTGCCTTCTTTGATCACAGGTTTTGAAATGATTAATTTACTCGGGTCAAAGGGACCGTAAGTGACGTTGGGGTCGCAGTTGTCGGCATTGAGACGCTCGTGGTCATCTGAAACGATGTATACTTGGGTTAACATGGTTCTGATTTTCTCCGCTTTGACATAGATTTTGATCATTTTTATTCGGCCGCGTCTATAAACTCGGAAGGGATTTTTACTTTAATCAAATGTTCAACGTCAGCGTCGTATTCAATAATTAGTCCAATTTTGTATAAATCTGTGTCGAGTTTAGTCGCTAAATCGGGCAGTGGCTCGTTTTCTCGCGCGTGCCTCAGATTTTTATGCTTACCGTCTACGAGCACCACGTGATCCATTCCTTCCAACTCAACACAATTTACGCAGCAGGTGCAATATTTACAACCAAAACATTCGATACAATTGCCGCACTCGTAACAGTCCTCGCAACTGTCCAAGGCATTTGAATTTTGGCAGTCGTATGAAATAAAACAAGCAACGCAATTTATACATCTACGGCAGTCGTCGCAAGTGGAGAAGTCATTACATCTTGTGCAGTCGTTACATTCGTGACAATCGTGGCATTCCTTACAATCGGTACATTTGCATAAACGGTTGGAATTTACAATAAACAAGGAAAGCAATCGTAGGAATCTATCAAGTCAATCGAATTTCTCGTGTCTGCAAAAATAACAATTTACGTTCGTTGTATGGTCTATCATATCCTTTTAATTTTTACTTCAATTATAATTTCTATTTATTTTTCTCATTTTTTTATAACGGGCAAGTCGAGACTTGTAGCGACCGGAAAAAAGCGAGGGGAAGTCCCTTTTTGTTTGAGAGTCACGGGGTAGTAGGTTGTTTATTCGATCTGTGCGGGCCGGCGCTCGTCACGAGTTGTTGACAAAAACGTGCGCCGGGGTCGAAAGGTCAAGGTTAGTAAAGTGGGAATCCCCGGCGCGGGTGGTGGAAAGAGGGTAAAACGGGGCAAAAGGGAGTGAAAGCAGAGGTGGGCTAGAACTGTCCAATCCCTGCTACTGACACATAAGAAATAAACTTACTTGCTCTACTTCAAGCCCGTTATTTTCCTACATTGAAATGGCAAGCATGGCTCACTATTTGGTAATACGTAATATAATTACCCCGGCGAGATGGAACATAGTTGAATCGTACTACTTCACTGCCTGGAAAAACGAGGTTCAAATGAGCCATTAAATATTATTTTATTTTCAGAAAAGGAGACAAAGGCAAGGTACCACTGCTGTGTTGAAAGTAGTCAGCCCAATTTGTGTGAAGAGTATAACAACAAACGACCATCGAGAAATCACCTTTCTTACACTCATCCCAAACTAGGTAAGCACGCTGACCAAAGGAGTTGGTCCGAATGTTTCCAACAAATTTAGAATCCGATTGTAAAATTACATTTCAGAACTCGATTTGTTAAAAATACAAAAATTATACACCCGAGTTTCGAAAAAAAAAAGAAATTTGTCAAGTTTATTCTTATAGAAATGAGAGTGCAAAACATAGTTTTCATATTCCCTTTTGTTCACAGCATGGTGCCTTGGTAACGGCCATTTCCAAACTCTTGACGGCGCCAATTACACGTTCAACGCACGCGGTGAGTACGTCCTGTTGTCTGCTGAGGGCTTTCTGCACATCTTCGCTCGAATGTGTTACATGGCGGAAGCACATGTGACCAATGCCGCCTTCTTCAGTGCCTTTAACGTGCAGTATAAAACGAGTCCTACAGTAAGTAGTGCAGGATTTATCCCTTTGCCGTTCTATATGAACATTTATCAAAAAAGATTGGCGCCCTAAACGGAGGTTTCATTTGTGAAATAACCAGCTGAGAATAAAACAAAATTCAGTATAGGGAAAGGTTCTCCCTATTGAAAAGGGGAAAGGGAGGGGAACACCAGTTGATCTCGCTTTAGATCCATTACTGATTCATTGTAGTTGAGTTGATAATTTCAATATTTGGCGATCGGTTCTTTGGAATACAAATCATTAAGATATGCACTTATCCCCCACATTGATCTTTGCTCATGTTCCCCAATCTTTTTTGATTAAAGCATGTTTGTTTACCGTTTGGAAAAGATGTCTGATACCTTGTCCTCATTCACCTCCCTCCCATCATATTATTTAATGGCCATGCAACGCTATTTTTTTTCCTTTGGGTTTCAGTGTCCATGTGTAAACATAGAAGACGAGATGCCTGTCAATATGGGCGGTAACCTATGCAACCATCCTGCAGTCTCTCAAATTTGAATGAATTCTAGCATTAAATTCTGGCATTATAAAAAGTGTTAAAAACACGTTTTTTCAATTTGGTATCTGTTGCTGTTCATTTTGAAAACACTGTAGTGTTTTTTAATTTTTTTTTTTTTGGTTTCCTTTTTTGTAAATCCTCGGGATAGTCAAATATGATGCTGGCGAAATCATGCATGGGGAAGGTGGGGCTAATGGACCGCTTAAGCACATTCTTGATTCTACCCACATTCAATAATCCAGGAAAATGATAAAAAGTACTCTCAATACCTGACCAAAGCACTTGTTTGTTTATTGCAATTAGCTGAAATCAGTTACTTTAATAAAACTTATTTATATTACCTCATTAATACTTCATCCAAAAGTGGACCACTAGCCCCACGCCACACAAACTCGCCAGAGGCTTGCCACACTTGGCAGAAAAAGGCAAGGTTAATAGCAAAAAGACTTGCCACACTTGGCATAACAGGTTGGAATTCCTTGGCACACTTGCCATGCTGACAAACCCCACCGGAACCAGTTGGTGCTTGTCCTAATATTAATTGTCATGTGATTCTATTTATCATTTACGAATTAAGAAAAACTTACATAAAGCACGCCGTTTTTTCCACCCCTTGAACAGGCGGTTTGTTAAGCCCCACCAGAACAAGAGGGTGCTTGGCGTAGTGTTTAAGAAAAACAAACATGAAACATAGCTAACTTTACGTTATAATCACTCCGAGATAAGTTGCATAAATTATTTATTTGTTTACTTCAGAAACTGCGTGTCGCTCCCAGGTAGTTCCTGCCAGTAAAACTTAAATTAATAGTCATATGGTGGAGATGGGGAGGTGGTGCGTTAAATTTGTGTGTTGCCGCTTCAAAAATCTATGCCGAAGTGGCCCTTTTCAGCGCCAGACTTGCTGTGGTTAAACAGTAAGTTCCTTGTGGCCCTCTGGCTTCAGACATTATTACCCTCGAGACAGTTTCAGGTGTCTGGGTCCGGAAAAGTACTACATTCTCTCAACCCCGTGAGGCCTTTGCTGATAGACGCAAGGCCATGTAGCCACTTTGCTGAACCCATTAAGCCAGAAATGCAAGACAGTGATGGGTGAGACAGTGGTGCCTTGTTCACCATGGTATAAGCTGACCCAGAGTGTTTCAAAGACTAATGACGTGCGTTCGTGGCGAATAATTTATTTTATCCCAAAGCGTTAAAATAAATTATATTTCTCACATGGGCCTCACTTTATGTTCAGCTGAACCTCTGAAAAAAATAAATGAATATTCTTGTTTAAATTCAACCGGTCAATTTGAAAACCTTTTAGTCAAAATGGAACACAAATGCTCCAAATTCGTAGTTTAGTCCGATATTGAGCAGGCTTTACAGGTATCTCAAAATTATTTTTTTATAATGACACCCTGTCCATACGGTAAATGTTGACTACTTTAATTGGATCCATTCTCGAAACTGTACAAGCCTCTATAGTCAGTACACAAGAATAACATTTCACTTCGCCATCGAGTACAGTCCTTGTGAAGCCACTCCCTGCACCCTCCACATTAAGGTGTAGTATATTTCAAAAAAGGTTTAATTTTAAGTTCTGAATAGGCTAGAATGATGTTCTGGCAATATTTAAGACCTACCATATCGAAAACAAATCAACAAATCTTTGCCAACCTAAAAATGGATTGAAATTTTCCCCAAAACGTGCTGGGTCATGGTGAACCAGTTTCTTTTTTTTCCAAAAGGTTTTCCAGCTCTGGTTTCTTTTTTCCCATGGAATTTTCTCTGATTTTTTAAGATGAAGTAAGCTCTAAGACTTCCCACTTCCTGTTCAAAGCTGTTCCTTCACTTTTTTTTCCTACTAATAATCGTCCACTGAATGACTGTGATCCTGTAATATGACCATCAGTTGTATAGGTAGTTCTTTGCTGTGTACCGTGCATATCTGCCTTTGTAGTGGTCTATTTTAGGAACATTCTGAGGTGATAGAGAGCACCTGCCCGCCATCCAACATTGACATAGGCTCCAACCATTATTTTGCTCTGTATAAAGTTACTTGAAGGTAGAAACTTGTGGATTGCCATGGTAATATTTACTTTATGTCCTGACTTCGGGGTCCACCAGGCTCTACGTGCAACAATCACAGTGGTATTCTTTGACTGACCTTAATTGGGCAGACTTTGTTACCAACCTTATTTTGAGAAAGAGTTGCATCTCTTTTTCTGTCAGAGTCAAAATTACTGATTTTCTCCTTCCTATCAGACTTTCACCATCGAATATGTTTCCTCTCCTTTGCCAGTGTGTGGTGATCAATAATATTGCCATCTTTGGATACAATGTTGAAATCAATGAGTGTAGCAGTTGGAGAAGCTGCTTGTTTTGTTTATTTGTTGTATTTTCACACAATGGTGGGGCTTAAATCCAATATTACCGGCGTATTTACCGCTCTTTGTCTCAATCATCTCACTCCCTGGTGGGGATGAAAAGCCTGCTTGATGTGAAGTATATGTAAATGTAGTTGGAATGCTCTCGGTTCCTTTTGAGTTGTTTCGTGAGTCATTCAGTCTATTTTTCTCTCTTCATTCCTCTATTTCTTTCCAACAAATCTGAACTTCTTTTTCCAGAACGTTTAAATTGACACAATTGCAGTCTGTTTTGCAGGTATCCCTTTGATGGATTGTGATACACTTGTCTCTGCAATTTAGGGTATGGAAAGCTTCACATTTACATGTGCAGATATCTATGTTTAGAAATTTTAAAGATTTGGCTCATTCTCCGTAAATTTCTTTATTTTGGACCTGACAGCATCAAACATAAGGCTGAATTTTACTACCTGTTTGTACCAATTCTTAATGTTCTTTGTAATCGCATCAGCATTGGATGTTTGCATAGAAGCACACTGCCCAATCACGATCTCTTCAGTTGCCACTTGAGCATAAATCTCACTAATCACAAAAGTTTATCTGTCGGGAACATTTATTAATATTTGTAGTATTATCATTTATTTGGCATCAAGAATAATAACACGAACAATACTACTCACTTGTTAAAGACAAGGACAAAACAGTGCCTGCAGTAGATGCCAGGAGAAGAAAAAGTCAACTGATTGACTGTAGCCCACAGGCCTCTTCTCCCAGTATTACAGACATCATATAAAAATCATATATATTTATAGAATTATACAAATTGTTACGATCCGAAAAACTCTAACTATTTATAAGCAGTAATTAGTTCAATGCTTGAAATTTCTCCGACGCAATAAAGAAATCAACTGATTTAAGGAACAAATAAACAAGTATGATTTAATGAGAATGTTACACTTCATTACACAAAAATAGTAACAAAGAAAAATGTTGATTGGAACTAGTTTACAAGGATAAGGAATATCTCATATAAACAAGATGTTCTTACGGGCGAGAACTTGGCAAGGCACTACAGTGAAGAATGCTGGACTCCACAAATGGCGAAAAACAGTTCAGTCCTTGATGGTGCAAAAATGAGCTGCAACGGGGACGAAGACAGCTTGCAATAAGAATGACCGGGCTCGAGACGAAACGGCGAGGGCGTGATGACCGTCGCAAATACGAGACTTGATGCTCCCACAAACTAGAACTGAATTCAGTTTACAAACTGTCCGGATTATTCAGCTCTGAACTTCACTTGGTCTGGACGAACTTTTCTTACAAGTGGCGCTCCACAAACAACTCGCCCCCACAAGTTGATATGGTGCAGAAGTCAACAATATTTCAATAATATTCACACAAGAGTGACCCTTCACAAAACCATGCTGATCTGGAGAAAGCTTCATGTTGTCCTTAAGGTGGATTCTAATATTCTCAGCAATGAGTAACTCCCCAACCTTACAAAAAATGGAAGTCAAAGCAACGGGTCTGCAATTAGAAATACAACTTGGATCGCCAGATTTAAGGACAGGGGTAATGTTTGCACATTTCTACGTACTGGAAAATGAACCGGATCTTAGAGACATATTAAAAAAGTTGCTGAGAACTGGGGAAATTGTGCCAACACATATTTTAAGTAGTTTAGGAGTGATTCCATCCGGACCAGGAGATTTGTTGTTAGATTTATTTCATTGGATATTGCTTGGATTACAAGTCGCAGACTTGTTATCTCACCACTTTTGATCGTAGCAATAGCCCTACTCTTTGAATCTGCTTTCTACTTGCTTTATGGTCCACACTTCGTGGCACAATATGTTCGAACCATCCTGTGATAAGGAAGATAAATGAAAGATCATACTGTACAATAATATTTCAGCGTCAAGATAGTTTAATGAACAGTCATATGTAATTCAAGTTCTTATAGAAACAAACAAAATCAAAACAAAGTGCTATTTGCACAGTTGTGTAAAGTGGTAGTCCAGTAGCCCGGTGTTTTTCATGTAGAATGAATTTTTCACTTATTCAATTTTTTTTTCATATAACTTGCATTTCTATCATTTGAATATATTCTTACATAACTTTAAAACAAACAATTGATTAAATTGGCTGTAGTTAAATCTTACACTGAAATTTAAGCTCACTTAAGTTTTCAAACATAATTATTACAAGTAGATGCTGCCATTCTGTTTTCTTAAAACAAACGAAAGGGGGGTTACAATGTCAAGTATTATGAATCCAAAATTTAGGGGTTTTTTTGTTGACAATGTCACGTAATTTTAGCATCCGCTTTGGATTTGATATACTGCTCAAAATATTTTAAAAGCAACTGTGATAAATCAGACTACAGAAGGAGTAATTGGAAGTAGTAATTGGTCTTCTAATCCTAGAAAGACGTCCAGCAATAAACACCAGTGGGTCGAAAACCTCTGACCCTCTCAACGTCAGGCACATTTTAGGAAAAAATGTATGCTGACATGGCCCACATGCATATCTGGCTTCACGAGACACCATTTACAAGTCAACTTTCATACATTTAAAGCCTAAAATTGTGCTTAAAACTTACCTTGCTTAGGCACTGATACTTAGTAGAAAGGGATAATGTATTTAATGCCTCTTGGTGAACGGCAGAATGAAGAAAAATCACGATTATTTTGGGTAAACCCGAGGCGCTCACCTGAACTTCGTGAATCTGCGGAGAACATGTATAGGGCAAAGGCCAAATGGCTTTGTTTCACTAATAGGGTAGCAAAGCAGAAATATCTACAAAAACCACAAGAGTGGGCCAGTTGGCCCGATGGCCCACTTGCCCCTCCTTCCCCTACTGTACAATACTAGTGACGTCTATGACTGCACAGTGTATTCTGTACGTTGCTCTAATCATTTAATCATCTTCTGCTCTTAGATTGAATTCAGAAGAGAAAACAACACTGAAATCGGCTTTGTTGTCACCCGCAATGGATGGGAAAGAATTTCAGACGAGCAAGTGATAGCAGGTACAGGTCACTTTTTGAACTTTCAAGAGTTGGCAGTATTTTCCCTTTGGAAATGCGGGTCACAGCTTCATTGGTTTATTTGTTTTTCTGCTGGGTTATTTCTGAGCATTCTTGGGATTTTTTCATAATTTGTTTTTTAAAATAAAATTAAATTCAGCAAGTGCAAACAGAAAAGTCACACAATTGTAATAAATGCTCCCGTTGTTCACACTGATTTGCACAAGATGGGTAATTAGCCTCATTAAATTCTGAAACTTGTAGAACATTGTATGGAAGTTTTAACCACTCGACCACCAATTTTCTCGCAAGCTCTCGGACGAGAACTGAGTATACAGTGTTTATAAAAATATGAACGTCGGCTGGGTAAAGACAAAACCTGTAATTAAAATTAACATCTCCCCGACACAAAGCACATCTTGAAATAGTTTGCGCTACCTGCTCCTATATCTGACTCAGACCGGCCAGTTGACCACAGCAAGCTTGGTGGTCGAGCAGTTAAGACGTCTGCAACAGTAAGCAGGAGGCCGTGAGTTCGAGTCCCACCCCAGTATAAGCGTGTGAAGTTTTTTCGCAAGCTCTCGGACAAGCACTGTGCATTCTTCGTTTATAAAATAATACATACATGTATATACGTCGGGTAACGAAAGGGCGCGACCTGAAATTAACATCTCTCCGACGCAAAATACATCTTCAAAAAAATCAAGCTTCCTGCTATTTTAGCGGGTAGAGAGCGCCTTTCATGTTGGTTTCAGCTTTTTAACACCGTATTTTTAGGCGTATCAAACGACCACCGAGCCGTCTTGGGCCAAGTTGGTTGTTTGACTACATGAAGATGATATGGAAATGTGTACTATACTGAGAATTCTCGTTTAATGACAGGTTCTGGTATAGTCTTAGTCAAGACGTTGTTATGTTGTTAATACGCAAGAGAGTAGTAGGTAGGACAGTTCCAGACCACCTTTCCTCCTTGGGTACCCACCAACCCCCCGCCCCAGCAGTTAAAAAAAGAAAAACTCCAAAACTCTACCAAACCAAAATACTATGCCCACACCCCTGACCTTCGCCACCCAATTCGAATACGCCAAACTAGTCGCAGCTCACGCCGCCTGATTATCCATTCCACGACGGTGAAAGAAGACCTCATAGTCCAAGCAAAAAAAGACGTGCAGCGCCAAAGGCATCGCGTCTGCTGGGTAAGGGAGACGAAGCAAGGTCCTCGATGTAATCGACCGCATCAGATATTTATTCCTGATTATTTGCTTTGATTTTGGTGGTTAAAAATGAAAAATATCAAACTCACTAAAACCAAAAAATAGAGATGCCAGACCAAAAACAAAACTCTAAGACCAACGTCAACTGTTACTTTTGCAAAAACACAATTCAGTCAGTTAACTTGACAGACGCTTGCAATTCTAAACATTGTTTAGACTCTAATCGTATCGATCAATATAACGATTGTATAGAATGTAACTATTGCAATCTTGCAACGAATGCAAAACTTGTGAACATTGTGAAAACTGTGATGGTTGTTGCAAATGCATAAGCTGTGGCAATTGCAAAGATTGCATCCTTTGTCACCATTGCCACAGATGCGACAGTTGTTATTGTTGCACCAGTTGTGATAATTGCATCGAATGCGATAACTGTAACGATTGTAATTATTGCATCAACTGCGTTTTTAGTATTTATATACGACAGTAACAGCGGATACGGTTGCTATTAAAGGATGACATTTAGAAATAAAGATGACTCTGACAATGAATCATACTTAGATGTAGAAGTAGAAAAACTAGGCTTAATAATTGAATACGACGAAGATACAGAAATAGCTGTGATTCCTCCAGAATTTTTAGATGAATACCCAAATTTAATAGACGAAGTAGATTGAGTCATCTAACTCATAACAAATGAAAAAAATCACATCTAATATAAAATCAGACTCATGTCAAACTAAACTTATATCGTAACCGAAGACCACGAACGTCTCAATGCCAACAACAAAGACCCAAACGTTGTATACGGCCCCTTTTACCCAGACAGACTCGTGATAGCAGACCCCGTGGTAAAAAAGAGTGAAAAAATACACGACATTATTCACCCGTTTTTAATTACCACGACGACCGAGAAAAAAGTCTGTTGGTCATGATACCAAAAACAATCTGCTACGGCGTAAATCCAGTCTGTAAATTGGGTACCAAAGAAAAAGTCCCCAAAGTATCGTTGGACGACAAATCTGCAACCAACTACAACAGCCTAGGATTGATACACTCGACCACATAAACTTTGCGGCTTTAAAGGATAAAATGTTTCACATTCCACCAAATATGATTAACGCTTACAGAGCCAGTCGTGATATACATGACTTGGAAAAAAGTCGAATAAGAGGTTAAACCAGCCCTACACGGACAAGAAACGCATGTACGTCAAATTACATACCGCAACCTCGCCGTTTGACCATCATAAAAATCAAATATTGCAAGATTAACTTGACAAATATATTGCTAAACGCTACGTCGAGATTTCGTTGATTTGTCCCAATGACGTTTATTACGGCACACATGGATCTTTGTCTTGCGGTAACAGCGTTAGATATAAAGTCAAAAAAAGCCATGTTAAAATTAGAAAAAAGGACGTAATTTAAGATAAAACGGCATTGCAATCGTTACTAGAATTTGACAGTGATGACAGCAACAAAGAGTAATTAACAGATATTAAAGATTTGATTGTAGGCTCATGTTTATAAGCCCCATTGTCCTTGGGATATCACAGGGGCGGGTCCGGGATTTTTTTCTAATAGAAGTCAGGTATATTTTTTGTGTCATTTTTGCGGACGAGCGGAAATGAGGATGAAACATTGTCATGACATACCTTGTTTGCAATAGTATTTGTGCGCTGACTTTAGTTATTTTTCATTATTTTCTCTTTTCTTTTACCTTTTTGTCTCAGAGGTGGGGGAACTCCCACCCCTGGATCTGTTACTCTATCAGCTTTTAAAATTAAAGTATTGTCCAAATAACGTTACCAAGTTGAGGAGTCAGGGGATAGAAGTAGAATCTGTGGAGAAAATTAAACAATTAAGGATTTTCCGCGGCATATTTGACAAATGCCAAACGTTCAGTATAAACATGAGCTCTTTCCGTAAGATTTGTGGGATATCCAGCAACACGAAAAACTCATCGAAACTAATTGAATTATTTCTTTCAACTTTTTTCTGATTAGGCTTTATGACTGATTCTTGTCTGGTGAAGAACGTTACCGCTACAGTCGTTAGATTCAGTTGCCCAGATGGATTAAGCATTGATATAGCTTTCGAGCCTGGAGATGTGAGATGCAGTTTATTCATTCAGCTGAGGGACCGAGACATCAATTCGCATTTTGTTGGACTTCTAGGTACGATATGTCAAATCTGCAGACCTAGGGTTTATTATTCTTAAGTTTAAGGGATTATGGACTTTGGAATACCGTCAAAAACAGCTCACGAACGAATTCAATCAAAGAAGTGACCGAAACTACACTTTATAAGTAACAGAACAGTTAATAGATATAGTTGCGACATGATGAGTGTCTAAATAATGCTGGAGCCAAAATGGTGGATTATGCACCACTGCACATGGACAATTAGCATACATTAGCTGCATGATAGACATCTTAACGGCCATATTTGTTCCAAAGTGTAAACGTAGCGCTACGCTCTTTATATTCAGATCTGGTAAAGTAGGCTAAGAGATATGTTTTAGGAATTGGAGTTTCCAACTGAAGTTTCTTTATTTTTCTGCACTTTTATTCATTGTTTCTTGGACGATAAGGGTGTTTGTGTGGCGATGACACATCTTCAAGAAACCTTGAAAGCGAGTGAAAAGGTCATGAAATAAAAATAGCTTAGTGTGAAAGTGTGGTGTATCTTAATGACATAGGCCCTACTTTGTTATCGAAGAAAAATTGTGTGAATTATTTTAGCTAGAATAGGCCAGTGATTTTTTGGATAGGATCAAGTGAAAGTACTCGGAGAACTTAGCTCGCTTAAGAAACCCTTCCTCTAGGATTTGACCTCACTACTATCTGATTAATCAAAGACGGATCAGTGACCATTTGACAACACTCATTGATCTTGCCTGACAACCTATGTCCAGGTTACAACGCGACATCAACTAGGGGTTAATTATGGTCGCTGATTATGGCATTGGAGGAATTTATTGTTGAAGTGACCCTAATAACAGTTTTTTATTAGAACTGACCAACCTGTATTATCTGGCAGCCATTTTTTCCCAATTAATATATCTTTTACAGGCGAAAACTTTTACAAAGGCCTGGGTGGAACTGAAAAGCAAATGGGATCGGGAACAAATGGACAACTACAAGACCGCGACTACTTCGAGTTTGGACAGTCATGTAATTTGTTCTTAATCTGTGTTTTATTATTGTTACCCTTGCTCGTCTCAGAAATTTAATTTTCCTTACGTCGGGTCCCATCAACCTGGCAGTTGTCACTTCACAAGTCAATCACTAAAACGCCACTAACAAGCCTGAAGGTTTGAAATAAGACTGTTAATTTGCAGATTCCATCCTGAAAACAAAAAAGGTTAAACAGATAAAACTAAAACCTGAAACGCTAACAGATTTTAGTTTTTGTAAAGTTTTCAGTAATTCTTGAAAGATGGAAATCCTCTCTAAAGGACGAAACCGTCTGTCATTCTCTCAGGGCAGTTACCCGTTGCGGTGTTTAGTTATGGAGTTGATGAGACCTTCGATACAATGAACCGACCAGTATCTTCCTCTCCGCCAGAAGATGAGGAACCGCGACGGGTCGTGCAGCTTCGGAGAGATACCGTTGATAAAAGCATGTGTGGCAATTCCATAGTCGCCACATTTGACTGCGTGGCCGCCAACAATAATTTCACTGGCGTTCCTGTCAAAAATAAAAACGAAGAGAATTTCCGTATGCAGAGAGAATTAGGTAGGTATCAGACTCGTTGAAATATCTTCTTTTGTTCGTATATCCTTTCTGAGCATTCTAAATATCTTTGCTAAGATCCTGTAATTTTTTTCTTCTTCTGTTTTCGGCCATGACTTCCGTTGTTCAATGTCATGGGCATTAAGGAACCATTGAGATACTGCTCAGCTTCGTGGCTATTTTCATCTTTTCCCCTTATTACTATCCGAAACCTGTACTGCGCCTCCAAGAGTTTGCAACTTGCGCTTAAACGTTCATGGGTCGACAGATTCCGCGCATTGTGATTGGCCAACGTGTTGCAAACTCTTGGAGACGCACTATTGTGAAACGGCCATGTACTCCAAGAAAGAACATGGAAGCAGAATGTTCTTTGGTGTGAACTCGTGCACACACTGTCGGTAGAATGAAATATCTCACGGTGAATGTGATATGCGGTTCTGGGCCAACAAACGGACAGTATCCAAGACAGAAGTATGTCAATGGGAAACACATTCAGGCCTTTTTGAAGATTTAAAATGCTTAATTAAGAAATCTGCAGTTTCCTTTCAATTATGGTTGAATTCAGGTTTCCTATATTTTGATACACCCTGTACAAAACATATATGGGTCTATACATAACGGATTATGTTGCCAGCACTAACGGCGGATGGTATTTTTGGCATATTCCAATTGTTTTTTGAAGAAGAGGAAGAAGTAAACTGAAGCTTATCTGTCTGGATGCCAACAGAACAGCGGACCTCTTTAGTCAATTAGAATAATTAATCTACTTCACAAACCTGAAGGTTTAAACCAATCAGGCATATACTTCAAGAGATACAGTGCGTGAAGGGTTACAGAAAATGAAAACATTTAGTTCACGTGAAGTATTTCAAAATAACAATAAATACGTAATCATTCAAAAAACATCATAAATTTAATGTTTACCCTATTTATTGTGAACCCAAAATGAATAAAAAGATCCTGCGTTTCCCCGCCCACAAAACATCCCCCTTTTGGCCGTTCGCGCTCCCAGGCTGATTGGATGATGTCATCGCCAGAACGATACATGTGCTGTGTACATATATGTAGCGCACAGGACATGCAGTATCGCGCGCTTCAATAGACCACATTATGTTTCATGTACATGTAGCTTGGCCCACAGGCAAAAACTGTCTTAGTTCAAGGTAGAAATTAAAAGACACAGTCCTACCCTGTATTTCTTGAACTGAAACAGGGTTTTGCCCGTGGGCCAAGCTACATCAAACATAGCCTTTCGTCAAGGCCTTTGCGGTTGTGTTTATGTGTAACTACAAAGCGGCTGGACCGGAGACCACATGCACGATGGCGCAGCCACGAGGCCTTTTCAAACTTGTCAGGAATTTTTTATGTTTTTTTTTTATGTTTTCGATTTTTGCTACCCCGGGGTAGCAAAAATCCCAACCAATCGTAAGCGAGAGAGTCAGCACACATTAATCTATTTTGCAAATTGAAAGTATTCGAAAGATGGCGAGCGTGTCAAGTGTTTCGGTGGCTGTGAGTGCAGGTCAGATGTCTGAGCAGTATTTGGACAGTTCTTTAGAATTTGCTGCTGTTAAACCTCACCCTGCCGAGTTTAAACCGTTGTAGTGTTAGGCTATTGAAGAATCTGTACGCGGGCGTAACGTTTTCGTCTTTACAAACGGGATATTGGTAAGAGCTCCTTATTTCAAGCACTGCCGTTTTTACATTGACCATTCGGCCCTGATGAACTGCTACTTGCTAGCGTTACTCCAACGTCAGCAACATCCCCCACCAACAAGAATCATAGTTGTCATCTCACCGCTTATTGCCCTCGTGAAAAACCAGATGGAAACATTGCGTAAGCTTTGGAGTGAAAAACCAGATGGAAACATTGCGTAAGCTTTGGAGTTGATGCCGTTTATTTCGGGGACTCATCAGCCTCAACTATTTACATAAAATTTATGAATAATGCATATCATAAATCTTATGAATAATTCACCACAAAAACCTCAAAATCAAGGTGGAAAAGGCCTCGTGGCTGAGCCACTTGCCTGGTCTCCTCTCCAGTCGATTTGCAGTTACACACACACACAGCTACGAAGGCCTTGACGAAAGGCTACAACAAACACAAGGTGGTCTATTGCAAGCCTGCGATACTGCATGTACTGTGCGCCATGTACAGTACATAATACAAATTGATCTCCATAATTGAGTACGTATGGGGAACTCCCCGTGCACCCCCCCAATTTAACGACATCAATATTTTCAGGGGCATTTTAAGGTCCTGTAACACATTTTAGATGTTAACATTGGAAAAAAACCCGATGCTCTGAGGATATCCAAGATGGCGGCCAAAATGGCCGGCAAATATGGTCCACAATGGGAAAAGGCATTATATCAGTTAAGTTACACACAAAAATCTAAACTGATAAACTGATATAAACTGATATTTGGTGATCGCTCTTTGTCATTATGCTTTGCATTCAAGATAGAGGCTGTAAGGATCACCAATATGGACGCCAAAATTGGCAAAAGGTAAATCCATAAATTTCAGCCATATGTGGTAAATTGTACATTTAACACATTAAATAATTTGATGCATGTTTTCAATCCTTATTCATTTGTTTTTTAGCATCCTTTGTTTTCCTACCATTGATCACATTGAAAATGGCTTCAAGAACGGCTCCTAAGTGGCAGATTTGAAATAAAGCAGTGTCTTTTCGTTTCGGCCCAGGATGTACCTCATAAGTGATTGGGAAATGCTTGTGAATGATGACATAATTCTGACAAGTTTCAAATGAAAACTGTGGTCCAATTAAACAGTTGTTAATCAAAAATAAATAAAGAGAAATTTACATTACCGCTAATGGGTCATTTGGGAGACAAACCAATAAGAACGTGCCCAAAATTTTTCAACTTTACTGTCCCATAATTCAATATTCCTTCATCTGATCTGAACCAAAATTGTATGTTTTCATTTTAGACCCTAATCTATCATCTCTCAAAATTTGGACGATAAAACTTGTCTCCCCAAAGCCAATGTCTCCCTAATGCTGAAAAATCTACCACAAAATGTCTCTAAAATGACCTATTTGTCAATATTATGAACAGTACATGTAAATAGAATAACTTTGAAAATTCACTTAGTGGGATAAAACAAAATTGAAATTTAAAAACATTTTGATTTAAGGTATTCCCACTGCTATGACAAAAGTTAAGCGGACAAAATGTCTAAAGGCCAGCCGTTTTACACCACCATCTTCACCAATCTCTGGTTCAAACATCATCTACAGACAGCAACAAAGTAGTAGGGGTGAGTCGGTTTCACCCCCAACCACCCCCCTCACCTTATCCCCTAGACTTTACCAAGAATACCGATCCAGACCACGGTCAAATTGAGAAAATTCTACCCCTCGACCCACAATTTTTAAAAATTTAAAAAACCAACTCGGTTTTCATAAGACCGGCATTCGATTTTACCACTGATTGGTAAACGGTTTCTCGGTAAAAGCGAGCGAAGCGAGGATGGGTGGTTGGTTGTGAAACTCGACTCACTACTACTGCTGCAGTTATAAAGAGGCGCGTTAATAAAAGCGATATTAAATTTAAAAACCTATATATAAAAGAAGTATGAATAGAAAACCCAAACCGCAACGTCGACCTGTTTTATCGGACTTTAAGCGTTTGAAAAAATCGTTTCTAGCGGACTTTGCTAAACGATATAACGTCTCATTACCGGCGCCCGCTAAAAAGTCACTCAAAGTCAGAGCTCGTAAAAGCAATCCAAGAGAGTCAGCGTCATATCATCAGCTTTTAAAAATAGCTCAATAGACAATGAAATAGAGTTTACGGCCACGGGCGCAAATGGCAAAATATTACGAAAGGACTTGATCACCGCGATTAAAGCGTATATTAAGCCACAAGTGATTGAAGAAGTGGACATCCGAAGAATTGGGCGCTTCAGAGACAATTACAGAAATTGGGAACTGATACCTCATTTCTACTCGAACGACTTGATCCACTTCTTTGATTTTTACAGAAAGTATATAAGATTCAGTTCAAGATGGAAAAGTCAGGAGCAGAGAATGAAATTGGCGTTTTCACATTTACGAGCCAAAATAACGCGGTCTTTTCTAAAAAAGGATTTAAGGAAGCGTTGGATCAGCAAATCGCCCAACATAAAGAAGATGTCGAAGCTCGCGAACAAAGAGGCTCGGGCTGGGTGTTTGGTAAAGTGCACGCCTTTTATATTAACGTGGTGAAGTATAATCCGGTCGGTGCGACTTATATTCCACTACCGAGATATTTGGTTGGCAAAACAGCAAAAAGTTAAAAATAAAGATGACCAAGAGTGCATCCGTTGAGCATTGAGATCTGCTTTAAAATTATATTCAGACAATGTCAAGCATCAGTTAAAACAAATCCAAATTACAAAATACATGACGAGCGCACCTCGACTTACACTAAAGACGACGGCTTAAATTTTAAAAATATAACTTTTTCCACGTCAATTTCACAAATCCCGCGTATCGAATCACAAAATAATTTAGCCATTAATGTATTTGGCTATAATGGTAAAAAAGACGGCGTTTATATTCTTTACAAAACTAAGCGCATGGACGAACCGATCAATTTACTTTATTTTGCTAAAGGCGAAATAAGTCATTATTGCTGGTTTAAGAATTTCTCACGTTTGACAGGTGATATTGATAAACATGAACACAAAAAAATACTGGTGCTTCAACTGCATGCCACACTTTCAAACGCAGGAACGACTCGCCCGGCATCAAGAGGATTGTCAAGGATTCGACGCAGCGGCATGTAAAGTCGAATTACCCGCCAAGGGCAAAAATATTCTCAAGTTTGAAAATTATAAAATTATTAAAAAAATTTGAATCTGTTTTAGAAAACCTACCACCAAAAGAATTAAACACAGTCAAAACACAAATTCATAAACCGTGCGGCTATTCTTACGCGGTTGTAAGATGTGACGGCGCTTGCACTTCACGTGAAACCTAGAGGCA